TTTCCATATCTTTCACAATTTTTTCCTTTTTTTTAATTTTATATAAATAAGTTTTGTTTAATGTTTTGTCAATTTCTTTTTTTCTCTTATATTCTTCAGTTAACTTTTTAACTATCCCCATTATATTATTTTTAACTTTCATGTTTCTACTATTTTTTATTTTTTGGTAGCATACAACTGTATCTCTTATTTTATTCCTTGATTTCAGGTTCAAGGTCGAGACGTCGATATTAAGAGACTCACAAAATTCTTCCAAAATTTTATTTTGTTGCTTTTCTTTCTCTTGACTTATTTTGTCTTTAGTATTTTCATACAGTGTTTTGAATTTCGCCATTTTCTCCTAAAATAAATTATTAAGCATAGTTATAGAGTAATTTTTCATCTACCTTGATCATTTCAATCCCTGTCTTTTGTCTATTCACGATGTCCGTATTTTCTTTGTTCTTGATATATTTATCAAAGTATTGTTTGAATACAAACATTTTTCTGGTTTGTGTTGTGAAAGGATATTTATCTTCTAGTTCATTATCTTTCAAATCCTGTGGGGAATATTGTGTATAAACTGTGTGTTTTCTAATTTTTCTTTTACATTCCAAATAATGTTTGTATTCTTCGGAATTGACGAATTCGTCTAGAAATTGTAACAGTTCATTATATCTTCTTTCATGGTCGTCTTTAAACTGTTTTATGGCATTATTTAGCACAGCATCATTTAACTCAGTATTATCTGTGGCAGTTTCATAATATTCTTTTAAATAGTCATACAACATTATTATCCTTTATGACACTGACACTTGTCAATGTACCTGAAATTTATATAGCGTATTAGCCAGTGCTCCCTCTGTGCGTCATATTTTTTGAGTCTAGATTTTGAGATATCGTTGTTAAAAGTTGTTCATTTTAACATAGGTTTATATGGCGAAGATGGACGCTGCAGCTCTTTTTTGTGCCCATAACTGAGAAAAAAATGTAGAAATTGTGAAACAAAGCTTTTCCATAGATAGTACACAGTATCATCTTATTTTTGATGTAAACCTAATGTAAGTTTTGAACACAGTACAGCTGTATTAATTAGAAACAGAAACAAATAATTTCATTTCTGTCTGACTTGAGGCTTAATGTGGCAACGTCACAATCAGCTGACAAGGAGGGAATACATTTGAAAGACTTGATAAAAACGAAATTGATTTCAAACATATACATTTTTCCTAAATCCCATGTACATTGTTATCAACAATAAATTATCCACAACAGATGATTTTTTGTAATGTTTTTTAAAAACTAGATTAATTAAAAATGACTAGGAAGCTGTGATATATTTATTGGAAAAAAAATACAGTTGATAAATCCTTTTAATATATTTAATGGTTTATAAAAACATCGTAATCATTACCCAGCAATATTTAGGGTTACATAAAGTTTTCTTTACTTGATATAATTTGTAATACTTGAGATAAAAGCATTTGTACGGAATAACATAGGAACGTAAATATTTCTCAGCAAACTTTATATCTAAAAAATTAGTTATAGTTGCAAAACTTTTGTAACATTACTAAAATAGAGATTAAAAACACAAACAGTGAGTAATAATGTAATTTTTATCACAGAACCTTTAAAATTGCATCCAACATTTTCTTTGATTTGGACGAGAGATGGGCGCGAGTGTCATTTCATTTCTTTAGAACTAAATTAACATAATTCTCGTTGTTTTACCAGTTCACATGGTTTACGGATTTTAAATAAAGGATACAAATCTCCGCAAGGATAATAGGATATATTTGCTATATATAATAATTATATTGTACATAGTTTACACACAATAAATGCTTTTTTATAAGAAGTAATTTCCATTTTGTTTCATTCCAAAATATTGATTAGAACCCGAGTTATCACGGAAATATTATTTTTGGGGGTGAACATGAGGGTTAGTTTGCAATTTACCTTTTTGAAATTGAGAACAATGGATATTAAGCATACAATAATTTAAAGAAACACACGTTTACTGACGTACGCGCATTGACAATAGCGAACGAAATAATCTATCTTTGTCATAAACATACGAGTTGTCCACAACTTCGGTACCATGAGTGCGACAAAGCGAACGTGATTTTTTATCTTTGTCCTGGCAGTGTCGTAGGAGCTAAATAAAATATAAAAAGGTAAATAAATTTGTATGTCTAAAAAACAAACGTAAAAGAAATTTCGAAGGCATCTTTTCATTATAGATAATTAATAATCAATAGAATAGTATAGAAAAAAATTGTTTTAGTTTTGTTACATCATTAAAATTAACGATTAAAAATTTGAAATTGTTATAATTTTCTTATTATAAATTAAAAATTATATCTATTTCTCTGAAAAGTAAAGTCACATTTTTTAGAGTAGATTGAAAAAAAATTACAAAATTCATTCATTTTCCAGCCTCCCTAACTCTGTTAATTTTAATAGTACAAGAAAATGTCAAGATGCCATTTTTATGTAGAATTGTATGCTTTACAACTTTTATAAGAAACTTCAACTGATTTCATTGCGGGAACCTATACAGTGTTCATTAATGGCGTACTGAAAAACCAGAGGTCCATTCTGTGGCTAAAATTAAAGCAATTTTGTTACTCACCCGTTGGCTCTTAAGGCCGCCGTTTTCGAGCTACAGGGTTTTCAAAATAAAAAAAAAAAAAATTTAATTTTCTTAAATCCATTCAATCTAACTATTCGTAAGTAGGTAGTAGACGTTTCGCAAGATTTATTAACTAGGATGAATCGATTGTTCTATTGTAATGTAAATGCAACTCTTTTAATATAAACAAAATAATAAAAAATGCATACGGGGTCTGCTATAAGAGTTTGCCGATTAGTCCCATTTTAAAAATGCCAATCTACCAGGAAAGCATTTTTGTACAAAATTCGTAAAATGACAGATGTGACGGTAAAATATTGTCACACGAGTTTAATGGGAACGCCCCATATAGACAAGCGGTTAAGCCGTCATATTTCAAACAAAATAAGATTCAGATTGGAAACCTCCCACTAAACATTTTTCAGTTTCCGACATGTTTCAGAAACGTTTCCATTTTTCTTGAAACGTTTCCTAAAAAATCCATGCAACATTCTGGTAACGTTCTAGAAACCCAAGATGTCCTCCCCAAAATACGTTTCCAATGAAATGTTTCAAAAAATTGGTTTCAGTAACATTCTTTTTATGTTCCATTTATGCACTCGGTATTTTTGTTTTACGTTTCAGTATATTTTCAGAAATGTTTGAGTAACATAATAATTTTATTACCATATTGTTCTCATAATGCTCTCAACTTTAGATAATTTTCACTTCAAAAGCGTTTTTGAAATAGTATAAATAGTGTGAGTATTTTTTTAAATATCTCTAATACTCCTTTGTGATATTTTTATTTGTATTGTGAATGACTTAATTCGAACTAAAAAAAGTTACATTGTATATTAAAAAAAATAAATATGCTCTTCTAGTTTGGGGATGCGGCAACTTTTACTAAGAATTTCTTTCTTTTTGAGAAGCCACTGAAAAAAGTTTCTAATATGGATTACGAATTTTGCCATTCATCGTACAAATAAAAATATCACAAAACAATATCAGAAGCATTAAAAAAAAGCTACACATTTTATATAGTTCAAATACGCTTCTGAAATGGAAATTTTCTAATGTTGAGACCATCATGAATATGGTAACAATGACGAACTGATAATTAGAAAAAGTTAGTTATGATTATGAATCTTGAAATGGTAGGTACATGAAAAACAAATAACATTACTGAAAAATAATATAAAGTTATAATTTCTTCTACGCATGGTCAATATTACATATATCCTTTTAATAATAATAAATTATACAGCAGAAATAAGGATACAAAATGATATCTTGACAAAGTAAATATCTGTAGGTATACCTAAACTCTTTTATTTAAGCATGCCTATACACATAAACAAATATAAACATTTGTACAAAATATAAAATAAATGACGTCTATTTCACTTGATTCATCCATATTTCAAATAGTTCTCACTGACTAAGTAGTTGCTCATCAAATTATATCGAAACGTATAGTCCATATTCCATTTTCTTAGTTCTTGTCCCTTGTCCTCGTCTATAATAGGTAGTGGGTATAACTATGTTTAGGTAGATGTGTCGCAAAATTGGAAATCTCTTTACACATATCGTTTTAAACATATTGCATTAATATTCATTATTTTATTTGCACCTTACAATAACCACAACTGCACACACTACAAATTATCAAAGTAAAGATGGAGAACAACGAATCAAGGCAAACTGGCAAACCGCAAACCTAACCTAACATAATACGAATTACGAATTGAAAACGACACACGGGATCACGGGAAACAAATAAACTCGGGCTATTACGCGCAGTCTACAGAAGTAACGAACATACATTTTTTCTAGACTTGTTCTTGTTATAAATATGCCAGCACAATTTTTTTTCTGTTTATGTCTGTTTGTATAATAAAGGCAAATGAACTAACGCTTGAGAGGGATTGGGGATTAGGAGCAAAATTTAACTAATGTCGAATGTTCCATAAGATAAGCAAAAAAAGCAGAGGGTTGTTCGTCTGTTATGTTTTCGAGATCGAAAAGGAATGTTTCGAGTAATGTTTCAAACTCTCTTCAATTGGAACGTTTCGGCTATATTTCACTAAAGAAGTTTTCAAGTGCTACATTTCTGTAATGAAACAGAAACGTTTCTAGTTAATGTTTCAAATGTTTAGCAAAACATCTCATTTGCAACGTTTCATTTACGTTTCGTGTTTAGTGGGCTTTATCACAGCCTTTATCTTGCGTCGAGTGTACATTCTAGTTTCTGGTGTCGGCCAAATTTTGTCGGTTTGTGTAATTTTTAACACTCTTGTGTTTTTATTTTAACTTTAGCACCTTGTATCTCGAAGAGATTTTAAACAAAAAACGTTATTTATTTTAAAATGGGTTACCTTGTACCTTGTACAGAGAAAACCAGTTTTATTTTACAGTATAACATTTATTTGCAAAAATAACAGTAAAACATTTATCACATATTACACAACCATTTTATTATTATTTGTAACATTAGCGCTCTCCACTTTTACACCATTACTCTCAAAAGTTACCACACTCGCTTTAGCACCTTTCAAATTTCCCTGCTGTCGCTGGGATTTACTTTTCACTGCCTTCTTGTACCCTATGTAAAGCCAGTTGGTCTTAAAATATTCGGTGATGTCCTTCAGAGTCATTCCGAAAGTCTCCGGTACAAATATGTAGGAATACACCAGCCCACCAAGGCATATGCAAGCAAAGAACCACTGCAGATTCGTGGCACCGCCGAAAAACGCATTTAGATCGAAATAGCTTTGTAGCGCTGCGAACATGAACATGCAGTTGAGGCTGTAGCTCACGCTGTAACCGATTCCTCTTATTTCCAAAGGGAACAGTTCGGCGATTAACATGGTCGGTATAGGTAGTAGGCCTATGGTTGACGTGATCACGTAGTACAGGAGAGCTGCGACTGGTACCCATTTCATTGTTGTGGCGTCTGTGGAAAATAATTTATTATACGGGGTGTCCCAAATACCCGTCCACCCCTTCTAAAATCCAAAGTACATGTGGAAAATGGTTCAGATGAAAGTTACTGGTCTTCAAGGGTCACAAAACTGTCGTGACCTTGTCTGTGACCTTGAAAGTAATTTTCAAGGTCAACTTAGATTTTTTTTTAATGGAAACCCTTATTTTCAACCCCGGATTGGTAAAGAGCGGAAAATATTCTACGTTCAGACGATGTATCATGTGTGGGGTCCATTTGACCATCAAGATCACGTGAAGGTCAATTTTTTTGTATGAATCTCTCCACCCAAACGACCCTGCAAAACTAAGGTTTAGCGAAAAATGTGTCAGATAAACGTTGGAAAATTTTGAAGTGACATATTTTGATAACCTTGACTTTAACCTTGGAAACAATTTTCAAAGTCATCTCAAGGTCAACTTTGATTTTTCACGTAGGAACCCTTATTCTTAATTCTGGATTCGGAAAAAGCGGACAATTGTAGGTATATGACCTACAATTTTAATAATTATGCTCCTGTAATATTTTATTGTATTTTTATATGCCTTTTTGCACGCATTGTATACGTTTAGACATCATCCGAAATAATTTAATATGAATTAGATTTTTTATAAGGTTAAGTAGAGTAGCCATTGGCTAGACTTCGCCTTATGTACAATGTACAATTTTCAAAAATAAAGACATTATTATTATTATTATTATTATTATTATTATTATTATTATTATTATTATTGTTATTATTATTATTATTATTATTATTATTATTATTATTATTATTGTTATTATTATTATTGTTATTATTATTATTATTACAAATAAATCGGGAAAAAGGTAGCTACATGATAGGGGGATAGGGAACATTGGGGGGGTCAAATGGACCCCACACGTGATACATCATCTGAACATAGAATTTTCCGCTCTTTCCGAATCTGCTGTTGAAAATAAGGGTTTCAATTAAAAAAAAAATAAGTTGACCTTGAAAATGACCTTCAAGGTCACAAGGTCATAACAATATGCGCCCCTTGGAAACCAGTAACTTTCATCTGAACTATTTTTCACATAACCTTGTACTTTGGATTTTAGAAGGGGTGGACGGGTGGTCTGGAACACCCCTTATACTCGAATTAGATCATAAAAAAAAAACATTTTTTTCTTGGATTTCTCGTCGACAACTTAGCAACTATTCATTTTAGACAAAAATGGTAGAGGGAAAAAAGTTTTGTAATTAAATTTTGAACAAGATAGAATTAGTTGCAATTGGAAAAAATAATTATTGTTATTACAAAAATCGGAAAAATCATTTACAAAATTTCAAAAAATGCTAGTTTATTTGTCAATTTTTTTCAAACACGAATAGTACCTAGGATCTTCATACTTTTCCCAATTAAACTTTTTAGTGCATAGAATCATCACACCAAATTTCATCCAATTCGGTTCGATAGTTTGTACATAATAATTGTTTAAATTTTTATTTTTTTAAGGGTTAAACTTTTATTTCCAAAAAGTTTTACGTTGATAGTTCGTGTAATAAACGCGCTAGCAGCAGTAAAAGTTAACTTTAATGAACGGTCTGCACGAGGGAGAAGTAGCGCCGGGCACGCGCATAAGCACCGCCCTCGTCGCGCGTGAGGTTTTTGACTTGAACGTTTCAAATTCGGTCTTGGCCTTCTTGAAGACATTTGTACCATTTATAAACTCGTGGCAATGACACATTATCGTCATCAAAGGCATTATTTATCATCTTGAAGGCTTTACTGCACTTAATTTATTTTTTAAAACAAAATATCGGACAATCTCTCCGATCCGACATTTCGACACACAAAAATCTTCAAAAACACTGACGTAAATCTTACTCATTCGCTCGCTAAACATAAACTAAGCTGCCTAAAAATTGATACGTAGACAAAATACAACGCGCGCTATTTGAAATTGCCCGTTACTTTTTGATCAAACCTCGTATCGCCGAGCAAATTTTAATCGTTCTTTGTTTAATTCGGTCATTTATGACAAAAACTCTATTACCCTGCCCGTAAAACATGACACAAAAGTTTTCAAGTTAGGTGAAATAGTTTAATCTCGTAAATTTCCCTTTAAGCTACGTCCCATACTTAATGAAACGCCCTGTATTTACTGTTTTATAATGAATACGTACTTTCTTGTATCAGTTTCGTAAATAGTCCAGCGACGAACATGCAGATGGCCATACCAAAGGTACTGACAAACATTAAAGATCTCCTGCAGAACGTCTTTAAAATGTAAATACTTAGTATCGACATTATCAGTCTGACAACGCCTATTAGAATAGAAGCCAGGAACGGGTTCACACTGCTGCCTGCTTGCTAAAACAATACGTTGGCACGAAAATAATTTAGAATGTTAAAAACCTTGTTCCTACCTCAATAAAAGAAATGGAATAGAACATGGTGATGTAAATACCGGAGAAGTGTTGGAAAAAGAACAACCCGTTCAGTATTATTATGGGCTTGTATCCTGTCGGTTTCATAAATTCAAGTAGTATGGCTTTTGCTCCCTTGTGATTATTGTTTGTGTTTTCTTCCCTTTTCTTTTGCTGTTCTTCTTGTAGCAGATTAAATTGTAGGTCTGCGTACGTTTCTTTCTGAAATATAAAATCGAAGTTACGGGTAGTACTTAATTCATTTTTGGAAAATGAGTTCAGTTTTACCGCATTTTTCGGATTGGGTTGATATTTGTGCATCCAATCCAGTGCTTTTTTGGCCGCGTCCAATTTTCCTTTCCAAATTAGCCAGGAGGGGCTCTCGTGTATAAAAATACAAGTTATGCAGGGTACTACGATGAAGATATTGCTTATCCAAGCTAGAGTCCTCCAATGCAGGATCCAACCTCCGAGATATGTCAGCACCATACCTAATACATAGTAACGAGCGTTCAAATAAAAAAGTTGGCTCTGACACATTGGACGTAGGGCGTAGCTTATAGCGACCAACTTAACCTCATTTCTCAACGAGCTGTATAGCAGCTGTCAGTTTCAATAACGTTAATGACTATATAACTTTATTTTAAAGAATAATCGTGATAACAATAACAAACAATTAAAGGAGCTGCGGAAAGTGTCCCCCTCCTTGTTATAACAATAAATTAAAGCAGCTGCTGAAAGTGTCCCCCTCCTTGTTCCAAGCACTTTTCACACCTGTTCCTCAAAGAATTAAAGACATTTTCTAAGATGCTCGGGGTATTGTTAATTTCACGAATCTTGTCTATAAGTCGAGCCTGCAGATGGTTTAAATCAGGAATAGGCAGTTCAAAAATAGTGTTTTTAAGGTAAGGCCACAAAAAGAAATCACACGGCGTAATATCACATGACCTCGGTGGAAATTCATGTTCAGCATTGAGACTTATTAGTCGATTTTGGAAAACTTCCCTCAACATATTCATCGTCTCGCCTGCCGTATGTGCCCTTGCGCCATCTTGTTGAAAGTAAAAGTTTGTAATTTCGTTTTCTTCCAGCTGGTTAACAAAAGGAGCGATAATTTCTTCTCTATACCTTTGCGCAGTAAGAGTACCATTAAAAAAAATAGGTCCATAAATCCTCCTTCGATTGAGAGCACACCAAACTCCAATTTTTTGAGCGTGTAGAGGGCCCTCGACAAAAAAGTTATCTGGTTTTTCAGAAGACCACATTCTCATATTCTGTGAGTTTACGTAACCACTTAAATGAAACCAGGCTTCATCAGAAAAAAAGGTGATATTATGAAGTTCACCGTAGTTGTTTAAAAACCATTCACAAAATACAGCCCGTCGCGGAAAATCAACTTCATGAAGTTCTTGCTGACAAGTTAAACGATAGGAGAACAAACGCAAATCTTTTTTTAACACTGTGTGGCAGGTACCGACTGATACTCCCACCATTTGTGATAAAACACGTACAGAAGTTCTTGGCGCATTTTCCATTATTTGTTGGACATTTTCTTTTAATTCTTCAGTCCGCTTTTTAGGTCGGCCGCTTCCTTCTTTTCTTGTTACACTGCCCGTTTCACGAAAAACATTAACACAACGCTGAACTGCACTTTGAAAAATTTTGTACTCAACAACGCCGGGAAATTGATTTTGAAATTCTATGAAACATTCCTCAATAGAATACTTCCATATTCCATCAATCTTGCGTCCATTTCTAAAGTAGGACTCTATGATAAACACTTTTTGTTCTTGAGAAAACACCATTTTAAACGCTTTTTAAAACGAAAATATTCAAATTGATAGCGGCGATATAGCGCTTTGACAGATGACGTTTAAGTTCATTTGCTATACGCTACGCCCTACGTCCAAATTTTCAGAACCAACTTGACCACGTTTTTATTTGAACGCTCGTTATTTATTTATCAAGTTGTAGGTTGACCATCTAAAAATATTTACCTAAAGATACGTAGGCAGGAGCGATCGCCATCAACGACATTCTCAGGTTTACGCTAGCTATTTCGGTGATGTAAACTATTCCAGGACTTGTGCCCCATGCTGAAATTTACAGAATTGATAAATTATAAGAAAATTCAAACAAATTCAAGATTGTTATTAAAGAATTTCAATATAAAAAAATAAGCATTTTGAAGTTTGAAGATTCTAGTTTTGAAATCGTGAGTTGGAAAATTATTTTGAGCATCATTCTCGGCACAATCAAAAGAAAGAATGCAAGGCAAAAATTTTACATTTTTGTTTTTCAAAACCACATAGTCTCAGACAATTTTTTTCTGTCTTAATCAACACCATTCATTTAGCCTGATTCATCAGCTTCAATTTTTCAGTTATTTTTTCTGTACGATTATTTCTTATTGAGACATTGGCTATTGACTGAAAAGTGACCTTTTTTTGATCATCGATATTTCATGAACTAACAGCGAATGGAAGGTGGGGTTTAGAAACCTGAATCAAACCTCTTCAAGAGCGTTTTGGTATGTATGAGAAATTTTTTATATACTCAGCATCAATGAAAAAGTGCAAAAAATTACTTTTCCTGCTGTTTTGAAAAATCAACGACTACTTTGCAAATATTGCGGAAAGTACCGATGTTCGTAGGTTTTTTTCTAGCTCAATACATGCCCATGAGGCATGCAAATTTTAAAATCGATCGGTTGAAGCGTTTTCCTTTCCTGAATCATCAGTTTTATAAAAAATTAAAGGAGCAGCAGTCTTAAACATGAATTATTAACGATTAAGATGAAACAAATTTTTTTGCGTAAATTTTTCTCACAATTTCGTGTTAAATGCTCATCAAATATGGAATATAAAAAATTCCAATTTAAAAAAAATAAATTTTTCAGCTTTATTTTAATTAAAAAAATAAAATTTTCTCGATTTTCGAAAAATTTAATTTTTTTTTCAAAATGATTCAAAACTGAATTTTTTTTTTCGATATTTGATGAGTATTTAACGCGAAATTGTGAGAAAAATAACGCAAAAAAGTATTTTTTTCACTTTTTCAATTTAATGTTTAAAAAAAATAAATTTTTCAACTTCATTTAAATTTCAAAAAAAAAAAATCTCCCCATTTGAAATAATCAATGTAAAATTATAAAAAAGAGGACGCCAAATATTTTTAAAAATTTTGAAAAATTTGATTTTTTTTCAAATTGATTTTATTTTAAATTTTGAATTTTTTTTTCGATATTTGATGAGTATTTAACGCGAAATTGTGAGAAAAATAACGCAAAAAATTTTTCAAATTAATGCCGTTTAAAAAAAATTCAATTTTTCAACTTTACTTAAATTTAAAAAAAAATTCTCAACATTTGAATTATTCTATGTAAAATTGTAAAAAAGGGGACGCAAAATTATTTTTTTAAATTGATTTATTTTCAAAATTTTGAATTTTTTTTTCGATATTTAATGAGTATTTAACGTGAAATTGTGAGAAAAATAACGCAAAAAAATTATGGAGCATTTAGAAAAAAATTTGAAAAATTTTATATTTTTTTCAAAATTGATTTTTTTCAAAATTTTTAATTTTTTTTTCGGTATCTGATGAGTATTTAACGCGAAATTGTGAGAAAAGTAATGCAAAAAAAATGTTTTCGCAATATTTACAAAGTAGTCGTTGATTTTCCTAAACAGCAGAAAAAGGCTTTTTTTTTTAATTTTTCAAATTAATGCTGAGTGGTTCAGATTTCTAAAACCCACCTTCCATTCACTGTACGATCATTAGTAAATGAGATATCGATGATAAAAAAAGGTAACACATAAAAGTCTATATCTCAATGAGAAATAATCGTACAGAAAATAAAAAAAAAAAACAAATTGAAGCTGATAAATCAGGCTAAATGACCCTGGCATTGATTAAGCCAGAAGAAAAAAAATTCCATGTGCAGTTAAAAAAAGTTACAGCCTTTCAAAAATCACTAAAAAAATTTGGAAATTTTTCTGTTCTGATTCTTTAATTTTTTTTGCTGACTAATTGTTTCCTGCAATATCGGCAGTTAGGATCGTGTCTGTGGAGTTAGTATATTTTGTATACCTGGTTTTCTAATATTGAAGAAAAACTTTCAGACTTTCAGAAAAAAAAGACAATAGTAAAAATGTGAGAGTAATAGCAAGATATATGTTTTTTAAATTGTTTGCATTTTTAACTAATCACCTGCTGATATTCCGACCAAAAGACGTCCCATTATAATCCAAGGGACATTAGGAGAGATGGCTATTAAACTCCATCCTATCACACCTGGTATGCCAGCAATTTTTATAGTATTCAGTCTTCCCAAACCGTCCATCATCATTCCGCTAAATACCGAGGAAAAGGGTATAACCACTATTAAGACACTTGCTGAAACAAATACGGTTTTATAAATTTTAAATTTTTTGCAATATACAGTTACAGTTCTAGTTTATAAAACACGAATTAATTTTCTTTGCTTGTACGAATTAAAAATTATTTTTAAAACAAACTGATGGGAATAAGGGAAAAATGTTCTTCTTTATGATGTATTAGCTGGACTGATTAAATCAAAAAGTTAAGGGATAGAAGAAAGAAGTTGTATTTTCTCAAAAAATACTCAGTGTCATGGAAACAAAAAAATTTAGTGGTACTAGAGGGGTCATCATCATACATTCCATGGGTCTCCAAATGAAGTATCAAATGTACCAATTTTTGATCAACTGTCTTAAAAAAACATGTTATGGGGATAACTAAAAATAATAATTAAACTTTATCACCTTAAATTTCAATAACAAAGCATTGCGTTGAAGAATCACCTGTAGAATTGTGTCGATGGATTGTTGTGACATCCTGTATACTTGTTTTATTTACAAGTTTTTTTTTTATAGAAATCATTGTTTCTCTCAGTTTAAATGATACTAAAAATCTTTTTTTAGAACAATATGGGAAAAATTTCCTTCTAAATGGTATATTAAATGGACAATATAAATCTTTAGCATTTGACAATTTGTAATTTTCGAAAAATTATGGATTTTTTTATAGAGTAGATCTCTATTCTTAATGAACTATTTAACTAATTGTTGTTTGTTCAAATAGTGAAAGATAATAGTAAATACGATATCAGTTTGACCAATTGTTCAAATAGTGATAATAAATGATAGAAAATATATCAGTTTGATACGGTTCTTTTCTAGGATTAAGTCAGTATCATTAGTAAACGTTATAATTCTAATCGTGCTGATAAAGTCATCTAATATGAGTTATATGTACAAAAAGTGCTTATATTTATATTCTATACTTTTAATAATACTCATCCATTTAGTTGTAAAAAAATGTTATTTCCAAGTAATACAGTTTTGATTCTTATACAGGTTGTCTTAAGACAGCCTGTACATTCCTTTATTAGATCAAATAAATAACAGTGTGGACCAATAAACAACCAGGACATGACTAAATTTTTTTTCTAGATCTACCTATTGTGATTTTTTTAGAAATGAAAATCACTTTTTTTTTAATTAAAAATTTCACTGTGTCCAAAATCAGCATTACTTGAAACCCCTATACCTTAAACTTCATCAATTATAACGCACAATGATCTTTTTATAGTTTTCATTTCAGTTGAAACATCTAGAAGGCTTTGGAAATGCCTGAAGATGAAAAATTAATCAATTATTGTCCCCGTTGATTATGATTAGTAAACAACCATATCCAAATACTAGCATAGCAATTTTCTTTTAAATCAGACACATTTTAAATTTGGAAAAAAAACTAAAATTTTTTGTGTGGCTAAACGAAGTTGCATTAAAACACAATGTTTTAAGGTTTCCATCAAGCACTTGCCATGTCGGTTCTTACAGGAACACTCTGTATATAAAAACAATTTCATTAAGTTGTATATCCCAAAGAAACATTAGAAAGTTGTCCTGGTTCTTAGTGGGACACAGTGTATATTTATTAGTTTAAAAACCTAAGAAGCTGATTTAAATTAACAAGTTTGTTATCTTACCCATCCATGAATTTTGACTTTCCGTGGATTTAATATCGCTTTCAGGTTTTCCTAGCTGTGAAATTAGTATAGCGGAATAGGCCAGTGAGATTCCATTTCCTATGTGGAAGGAGGCCGCTATTAGAGACGCTATTATCTAGAAATACGGGATTTATACACATTTTGTCGATTATATTCCAAAATTTTAACTAAAACGCTTTAAAATTAGTTTATTCAATTAACTAGAGTTGATTGTTTAACTTTCCCTAATATTATTAATGAAGAAAATCAGTGCAGTCATAAGTAGGCTTAGTGCTGCGCAGAGTTTAACAGGACCGTAGTCAGATTACGAATGAAAATATTAATAAATTTACATTAAAATATGTCGCAAGGCCAAGTAGAGGATAAAATACCTATATAAATTTAAATGACATCACTTACCCGATAAACCTTAGTGTTGAGACCAAGCCTCCGTGGCATATTGGAAGCAGTTACAACATATTACTACGTGCTTTTCTAAGTTTTCTTAAGTGAAACGGCGTCGTTTATCACTTAATATTAACTTGTGTAGGGAAAATTACCGTTCAACGTCTATTGTTGACAACGGACAGTATGAGAAATTGTTGAGGCAGGGACTATATTAATATATTTACTGGTAACTCCTGATATGTACCAGATAAAACTTTACATATGTTTTCCAAAATGGTGCATCCTGGATTTTTTTCCAACAGTCTACATTTTTTTCTTTTATCGTACTACTGACTGGGCGTATATTATTGGCATCGTATATATTTTTTTGTACATCATCCATTATATCAAATTGTTCATTTAAGGATAGTCCATGTGATTCCAATTTACGGAATTACAGAACTTGGGGTTCTCTAGTTTGTTTAATGGAAAGAAAGGCGTCTGTAAGTACATAGATAAATACAGAGTCTTTAGCGCATGGCTCTTCAAATGTCTTGTCACTTTAGTTTTATAACAAGAATTTATAATGCGTGCACACACAGTACAAAACAGCTCATTTCCTTCAATACACATGTCCCTGTAACCTTCGGGATCACTGTCAAAACACACTTGAAATAATTCTCGTCTATTTCTTTTCCCTTGGCATTTTACTTCACTTTTTCCCCCAACTAATAATTGTTAATGTAAATTATGTTACTATTTATAAATAGCTATTTAAATACACGTAAAAAAATGTATCGACACGACACCAACTACTACAAGGTTCCGTAAATAACTGAACAGTTGAAAACGCGAGTCAGCTGTGAAGGCCACCGACCCTCATGCCGGCTCTGTTGGACTCTGCACATGCACTAAGCCTAGTCATAACAAAACTGGACGCTGAAATCAAGCTTACCTGCGGTACTAAACTTTTAATACTTTTACTCTCATATTCACTCAGAGACTTGCAGCTTTGAACTAATTCCTTAATGTTTTCATCATTTTCGTTTAGTCTAATATTATTCTCGGGACAGCTAAAAAATTGTAAATCGACAAATTATTTTATCTTTTGATTCATATAAGTTGAAGTACTTACTACAGACTTATACAGCTTGCACTGAAAAAGAAAGAACTGTTAATACGTGCTAACATTTAGGGAATTACATTAATAGTTGTCAAATCTTGATAAGTTTTGGTGGTTTCTATGTTTCTATTTTAAAATGACAGTTGTAGACAGATACATTTGTCAATTTTGTGCTTTCACAAGGTTAAGCTTGTTGTTCCAATAAAGAAAAAATATTCTTTCAAATTCAAACGCCAAGAACATTTTCATTTAATGAAATTTAGAACCGCATTCTCCCCCATTCATAGAAGAATCAGCAGAATAACTGTATGCTTTTGTGAGAACTTGTGCAGAACTTACCCAATCGGTTCCATAACTCACAAGAATCAAGAGTAAAACCGAATATCTAGAGTTGTGTCTGATCTTTGAGGACGGAGTAGCGTAGCTACCCATTTGATTATCTGTAGATTAACATGTTTTCCCTTTTTAATAATTAAAGTATTTATCATGACAACAGTTCTGACTCAAATTGCGGGTACGAAATAATGTTTTTTATCTAGACGGTAAAGTTATCAATAATCTACAGATTAGGAGCCGGAGCATCATCAGTTTTCCTTACTATCGTAAACATGTTGTGCTTTTAAATTTCGATGTGTATAAATCACCCCTTGTCATTGAATTATACGTTTTTGTGGTATTAAATGTCTTAGAAAAGGTTTAGATGCCTATATCTCGAAGAAAAGAAAAGCGAAATTTGGTTTGGCGTAGGAAATTTTTGAAAAGTTCAGTCATAATTCTTGTTAATACAACTTTAAAATTTTTTCGGTTGTAATCACCAGATGATCCTATGTTATTAATGGTGAAACTTAGTATCCTATAAAAGGATCAGTTTCTTTGTAATCAGAGAGATAAACTTGTCCCATGGCCACAAGCAATGATAAAATGATGTAACGGATAATTTATCATTTTTGTGTTATGTACGGTGTGTATCACAACGTGTAGAAAATGAAAGAGTGTTTTCCTCAACCAGATTTAAGATTTTTTTTTATACAAGGTGTCCCGAAAGGTCATGTCAAAAATGAAGGGGTATGCAGGGGAACTCAAAATAGTTGTAGTACTTCATAAAAAAATGTTTCCTATCGGGCTTCGTTGTGGAGTTGTTCGCCTTCAAAGAAAGAAGTTTGAAAAAAATTCCAATTACAACTTCTAAGTCGTTACCATGACAACAATGAAATTTGGGCAATAACACGTCTGGATTATACAGGAGCAAACGAAATTATCCATTTAACTTTATACATTTTTGACAGCGTTGCTAAAGACATTTTTCTTTCATAGTTCGATTCCTCTCCGACAAAAATATCTTAGGTATATTGAGAAAATACATAATTTTTCATGACTACCCAGCAATAAATCAATGTACTATAACACATTGCACAGTTATTTGTATAATTATTTAAATCAGTTACAATAATCTATCACATTTAACTTTGTCAATTTGATAACGGGAGTTTTGTCAACGAAAACATATTTTTTCAAAACAACTGTGTAATTATTTTATAGCAGTTATGATGAATTATCTATTTTCTCGGAGTGATATACCTACATACTTATTTGTAGTTAGGCAAAACTAAATTTATATGTTTTTACCAGGCCTAATAAAGATTATTCGTTAATCCAATGATATATGATGATTACTCTTTTAATGAATTTGAGCAATTCAACAAAATTCTTTACAAACTAATAGCCCAGTCACAGACATGAAAGAGCCTGTTTCGGGAAAAAAATACTATGAGAAGTTTTTCTGCGGAATATTGTTCGGAAACCTGTTATAAATAAAATATCAAAAAATCAACTCGAGGCTAGTTGGGAAACTTTGTTTTAACAGTGGTCAAAGTTATGGAAAAGTGGTTTTTTGACTCGCGTAAAAAAACTACACAAAAGCACACACAAAAACTCACAGCAAACAAAAGTTTACACAAAAAAGGTAGGTAATAAGCCTATAAAATGAGACAAGTCCGATTAAATTCCGATAATTTGTTTATGCACAAGACCTCAAAAATGGTCGAAAATGGCCGTTTTTTTCAATTGCTAATAATTAATGCAATTTTCATCGCAGACACTTGTAATTCAGGATTTTTTAGGCTTTTTACACCCTTAATAAGTGGTAAAAATTTCAGCCCGAAAGCTGGCGTTGGCGGAATTTGTTATCTAAGAAGATGCTATTTTCAATTCATTTTTCCCAAGCTCACAGGCCGTTGTAGGGTTTCGATCATTAGTTGTTTTTGTACCTAAATAGTTGTATAGACATATGCATTTACTGAGAATTTAGTTTTTCAAATGTAATTTGTTTAAAAATGTCTTTGAAAAAATGTTAATATTTATTAAATTGTTAAGATAGGTAATTATTATAAAATAAAATAGTAACCTCTTTACTTTAGTTTTCTTCGAATTTAAAAAAAAAATCGTTGTTGCAAGTTGATTAGAAGCTGAGATAATTTTTTTATTTATTTAATCGCAATAACTTTAATTATTAATATTAAGAGCCGAAATTTGGAGAGAGTATACATTAAGAGCTATATTTTCATGTCCTACATTAACATTAAGGTGAATTCAACTATTTAATTGCGAAAAAGAAGATAGCGGCGATGCGTTCTATTACTTGGTCTAGCGAACGAGTGGGGAGAGCGAGGCGGAGCATGCGCGCTTAACAATTTAATAAATATTAACATTTTTTCAGTCATTTTTAAACAAATTAAATTTGAAAAATTAAATTGTCAGTAAATGCATATGTCAATGCAACTAATGATTGAAACCCTACAACGCTTGTGAGCTTGGGAAAAATGAATTGAAAATAGCATCTTCTTAGATAACAAATTCCGCCAACGCCACGCTAATGAAGCTTCTGGGCTGAAAGTTTTTTTACGCGAGTCAAAACACCACTTTTCCATAATTTTGACCATTGTTTTAACAAAGTTTCCCAACTAGTCTCGAGTTGATTTTTTTGATATTTTGTTTATCACACGTTTCTGAACAATATTCCGCAGAGAAACTTCTAATAGTATTTTTTTCCCGAAAAAAATCTATAATGACTGGCCTAAATGCAAAAAATTAAAGCGTCAAGAGAATTTCCGAAATTTTTCCGTGATTTTTGACAGACAGTATTTAGGTGAAAAATGGTCGTATCGGGAATTAAAAAAAGCATTTTTAAGCTCTAAGATTCTAGTTTTTAGATCTTTTAATCGAAATTTTTTAGGAACTTCGGTTATCATACAATTCCAAGAAAAAGATGGACAAAAAAAGCTTCAATTTCCTTTTTTTAAATTTCGGTACGACCATTTTTCATCGAAATATCGGACTTTTAATGGAAAATGATCCTTTTATCTTCAATCATTGATATCTCGGCGATAAATGGTCGTACAGAGAATTGAAGGGCAGTTTTGAAAACTGGAATAAATTTTCGGAAGAAATTAGTTTTTCATCTTTTACACGAACTTTAAAAACCAGAAAAAAGGGTAATTTATGTTTTTTTTTTTAGAAAATTGACGGCTAAATTAGAAATATTCACAAAATGACTAATGTTGAGCATGACTTTTACAGTTCCATATATCCAGAAGAACCCTGTGAAATTTCATCTCGATCTAGCGTTTCTTTGTTTCAAACAAACTTTTTGAAAAACATTTAAGATTCACTCATAATCATGATTTAAATAAAAATTTTGTTTGGTTTTTTCACATTTTTACCGCAAATAACGTTTAAATTGATGAAAAAAAAACAAAAATTCGAAATTTTCTAAAAAATTTTCGAAATTTTACAATTTTTTTTTGCTTTTTTGGAAAACCTGCCGGACATTGAAGAAAACAAAATCCAATTGTTTCCATCACGATTTGGCTCTTCCGTCCTATGCTTCTGTTCATCAACTTTTAATTAAATTAAAATTAAAGTTGACCCAACCAGATTTCGACCCCGATTCATGCCGTTTTTCGAGACAAATTTCTAATTAATTTTTGAGCAGTCTGTAATCACTTAAAGAACAGTTTTTTCAAAACTACCCTTTATTTCCATGAAAAAAATTCAGAAAAATTTTATTGTTTTCATCAATTTAAACGTTATTTGCGGTAAAAATGTGAGAAAACCTCAAAAAATTTTTTTCTGGATTCTTCTGGGTATATCGAACTTAAAATCATGCATAACATTAGTCATTTCGTGAATATTTCTAATTTAGCCGTCAATTTTCTAAAAAAAACTAATTTTTTCCTGTTATAAAATTCGTGTAAAAGATGACAAAATGTTTTTTTCCGAAAAGTTGCGGCAGCATGTTATAAGAAATTTATTCCAGTTTTCGAAACTGCCCTTCAATTCTCTGTACGACCATTTTTCGCCGAGATATCGATGATTGAAGACAAAAGGATCCTTTTCCATTAAAAGTCCGATATTTCGATGAAAAATGGTCGTATCGAAATTAAAAAAAAGGAAATTGAAGCTGAATAAACGAGCTATTTGCAGTGGTCTTGCTGAAAAAAAAATCCAAAATTTTTTTGTAGTGCTATTTCTTAAAATTGTATGATAACCGTAGCTCCTAAAAAAATTGGACCGAAAGATCTAAAAACTAGAATCTTAGAGCTTCAAAATGCTTTTTTTTAGTTCCCGATACGATTTTTACAGTCTGTCAAAAATCACGGAACAATTTCTGAAATTCTTTAGACCCTAATTTTTTGCATTAGTTTATACAGAGAGGTCCAGAATAATTGAAGTGTTTGGAGATGTGCCTGTCTGTCAATACTACAAATTTTTATATGCTAAAGATGGTGTTAATGATACGTCACGTGTGACTTGACAATAATATGGGTTTGTTCCAATAAGCTACTAGAAATGTTGAAAATTGAATTATGTCGGTCTGTAAAGTGTACCTGACAAATCGTTATTGCAGTTTACATTTCTAGTAGCTTCTGAAACAGGCGTTGTGTTTCTAATCTTAAGTTGCATTTATCTCAATGATTTCATTGTTTTCATGGCACATTTGATAATTTTTAGTGAAAGTTATTAGATATCACTGCATTCAGGAATAAAAATACCAAATCAAACAAAGATATCAACAGATTATCAACGAGATTATCAACAAAGATATACGTATCGTTTCCTAAAATCTTTTGTTGTTTAAAAATTGGATAAACAATTGGTGTTATAGTGTGCGACGTTTTTTACGACGCGCCAGATGTAAGGAAACATTCCTAGCTTGGACGAGAAAAACGCTCTTGATTTTTATATCTTAACACTCCGTATAACAGTGTGATGATACTAGTCAATTAGAAAGTTTGTAAAAAAAATGATTTTCCTTAAACAGTAACATATACACGAATATTTCTTTTATAGACTGTAATATAGGCAACCAATTTTACACTGATTTAAGCTTGATGGTTGTATTTGTTTGCTAATATAACCTACTAGAATATTAATAAATTATCCTTCTCTATCTCAGTTTTGACTTTTGGGTTAATTTTTATGGCGAAAATAGGCTGTAAAATTTTACAGTTATTTTTATCTATCAGTTCTTTCTTAAATTTTATGTCAGTTCAAAGTTCAAATCAGTTAAACTGCGACTATTAAAAAATTTTGAAACTTCATTGTTTAGGCATTAAAATTATTTCAGTAGGACAGCGGTCCCCAAACATTTTTATATTTTTATCTCCTTGCACGCGCTAATGATATGTGCATACAAAATATTTAAACAAATTCATAAAATTTTACGATTATATTCTTAAATATGTTCTAGAATTACTCCTAATGACTCTGACGCAACTTTTGAGAGTCACTGACGTAAACAGTTAAATCACAGTTTACTTGACGAAACAAAAAGATATTCATTGTTAATTTGATACTGCAAATACCCTGGACAAATAAACCTTAAAACCACTTATCATGCAGTCTTATCTGGCTTTACATCAAAGAAAAGCCACGCAGGTGTTTAGCAACGCGTTAATTATTTAGAAATTTTGAAACAGCTCGTAAAAAACTTACTTATAAGTACAGTTCTAACTAAGATTGAGCAATTAGGTGGGTTTATAACTTTTCGTTTCAATTCCCTATCATCCGAGTTTATTGCTCTGTGTAAGCTTGTTACATTAAAGTGTGTCTTTGTCTGGTTTAAAAATAATAATCGTTGTGCGGAACCACGCGCAAATTGTGATGAACACGTCTGTGTAAAATGCGTAACGCTGAGAAGTGATAACAATTTTTTAATACATTTCAAAAGATTATTCCAAAGGGTACGCACGTTTTGTTTACCACAAATAAGTTTCAATTGTATTATCTCTGTCTTTATTTAGCGGCTGATAATGTACGTAAGTGACGAAACTGGATTTATGTAAATATCAAATTCCTGTATTATTTAACTTTCATTTTAAATATAAGTTAAAGTTAGAGGCCACTATTCAGTAGTTGCTTAACAGTTCGTTGATTTGATAATGTGCAAGTATTAGGCACAGTTGCTAACAAGTGGGTAAGATTGATGTTGTAGTTGTAGGTGTTTAACAAACAATACATCACATCCGGGGAAGTGCTGTGACAATTGGTGCGTGCATAGCTCGTTCTACTCATTAAAATTTTATGCCTGGTTTACACAGTTTTAGAATTATTCGTTCAAAGCACTTGTCACGTTGCGTTTTTGTATATTTATTTCTGTTTGACTCTGTCTCCGTGCGATGAGACACGACGACAGGTGTGTAACTAGCTTAATGTACAGGGTGACCTTTAGAACAAACAGTAAACCGCAAGCGGGGATCTTTATAGTATGATATAAATATTTGTGACGTCATTGAAATTATTTTTCCCATTTTACACACATTTTGGAAGTTCTTAATTTTCCCAACTTTTTATTACAGTTTTCGATATCTTTTCCGCTTCAAAAGATATAAAGCTATGTGTATAGACAAAAACACTGGTTCAATCAAGTCTGTTACTGATTTTATCAACGTTGCGATGAAAACAAAATATTTTAAATCATTATTGACGTAAATCATTGTTTCCAAAGTATCCATAAAACCGAAAATCAGTCATATCTACTTTTTCACTGGTGTTAATTTTTGAAAAGATTCGAAATTAACGGTACTGTTTATACAGTATAGACAAATCAATATAGACATGATCTACCATTGTTCAAATTGTTTACAAATCGTTTCATTTATTTTCGAGATGACGAAATATGCAAGAACAAAAATTATAGGAAACTTTTTTTTTTTTTGTTAGGTTGTAAAAACAAATGAATATCGGGTCAGAGCGATACAAAGCCTAATAAATAAGAGCTTTTTTATTACAAGCTTTTATTGAACTTGTCTTGTTAGTATGGATCAAATCTTGCAACTGAATTTTAAAATAGTTATCCCCAACCGATTGAGCTGAAATTTTGCATACACGTTTAATTTGGATGACAATGCATGGTTAGCTAAGTGACGTCATTCCAAATCCAATATGGCGGACTCCCAAAGATGGCGGACCAAATGAAAGGGTTTACTGAGAATACGAAAATAAAATGGCGTCACTAAAAGCTTGTTTTTTAAAAAATATATTTTTATACTTGAACTTATTTACCCATACTAGAAATACTTATACAGGGTCACAACATTTTAATTGCCCAGTACAGGTAACTTTCTTATTTCAAGAGATATAGAAACTGTTAAATATGCAAAAATGTGCAGAATTTTACGCCGATCAAGGATTCGTTTTTAAGTTTAGAAAATTCCGAATGGTTCCGAAGATACTCAAAGAAAACCGATTGTATGCTATCTCTTTCACTTGCTTTCAAAATTTTAGAATAAAAATGTGTGGTCTGAAATTAAATGAAGTGATGATTCGCGATTTTTGCTGTCAGTATTAATGTACATATCTCTAAATATGAGTACTGAGCGGTAACTATCTTTTGTGGAGCGATGAGAATCCTAAAAAACACGATCATAATGACATTACCCGATAGCCACATCAATCAAAAAAATACGACCACTGTAAAAGTTTTAACCTCTAAAAGGGAGAGGTCACCGGAGAAAACTATCACCCAGTATATCGATTTAAGCTTTAAGAAAGCTAAAGCTTTAAGAAATAGTACTTCATAATAATCCCATTAAATGTGCCAAACTTCAACGCGATCGGCAAAAGGGTTATGAAGTTATTAATTAAATTAGTTTTATTTTTGACAAATTTGAAGGCTTGTAACTCAAAAGCCAAATATTTTTTATTTAACTTTTTTTTCGTAGATCGTTGTCATTTTATCGCCCTGAATATGCAGTCAAACGCTGTCGATGAAATTTGCGGACACCCTGTACAAAAAAAAAAGCTAAAGTAAATTACACCATAAATACCTTTTTTACAAGGATATTATCTTAACATGGAACTAAATCTTACCTTTTAATTCAGAATTTATTAATATTGAAATGAAAAAATCGGAGATTTGCTAAAATTTGTCCTTAATAGTTATTTAAAATTTTCAATTTTGTTTAAGATTTGACACATTAAAGAGAAGATATGGACCAAAAATATTCGATGGTAGAAATTGGAAAAAATGCCGCACATCCAGTACCTTCTGATACAGGCTGGAAAGTAAAAGAGGTAGATACTACATTTAAATTTAAGCTTTTCTACATACGAAAGAAATATTTTTTGCATTCTTGCAGTAAAAAAAGAATCATGTTTTTCTGTAAGTATATATTTTTTGTTCACAGTAGGAAGAATGAGACTTGTTTAAAATAATTTTAATGAATCACAATAGCGTACAGAATTATCGATAACCAAGTGGTTAAAAGCTGTGTTTACAGATGGGGATAAAAAATATACCAGGAGTTGTTGAAGAACAGAAACCTTTGGTTCCCGAAAATGGGTTTGTTACTAACTTTGGCCACTTGAACGAAATCGATATAACTTGGAAAGATTCTTTAAAACAGGTAACAACATACAAAATATGCTTCATCACTCCATAAAAATTTAATAACAGATTTTAGCATGTGTCGTAGCGCATTCCGTCGTAATACAGGCTGGCATAAACATGGCATTCAGTGCCGTTTTACTACCACAACTATACGAATCTAAAAGTGACATCCAAATCTCAATATCCGAAGGATCTTGGATAGGTGAGACTTTATAAAAATGTAAAAATTTTACGTAATGTACCTTTAAATACATTTCAGCCAGTATAGTAGCGATTGCGCTGCCATTAGGGTCACTCACTATAGGTCCCTTAATGGACAGATTTGGGCGAAGAAAAATGTGCATACTAACGAACATTCCGTTCGCGATCGCTTGGTTGTTGCACTATTACGCTAAGAACGTCTGGTTTATCTTTTCAGCACGGATTATTTCAGGATTCAGCGGAGGTTGGCAGTCGTAAAGGCTGAGAAAACGATTCTAACATCGTTTTAATTATTTCAGGTTTGACTACAGTCGCTTTGGTATATGTGAGCGAAATAACTCATCCAAAATTGAGGCCAATGTTGCTGGGGTTGAATAGCGTGTTTGTGACTTTCGGAATTCTCCTGACATGTGTTTTAGGTAAAAACTGCGACCTCTCCCTTAGAGAATGTGTACCGCATGTGTAGAATAATTAATTAAAAAGCAACTGATGCATTTTTAGGGTCTTTTCTTCAGTGGAGGACAATGAGTTTCATATATTTCATAATCGTCCTCTTGACGTGTATTTCGATGTGTTTGGTAATACCCGAGAGCCCCCATTGGTTAGTAACTTTCAAAAACGATACACAAAACGCTGCTAAGTCCGTCCATTGGATATATTCAAGAAATTATGCGGTAAATATTAAATGTACCTTTAAAATACCTCCATAGTTTCTCCGTATTTTGCAGTTGTGCGAGCAACAGCTCCAGAAGATAATAGACACAAAAAATCAGGCTGAAAATGAACCCAACGAAAAGTCGGTGTTGCTGAAGATGAAGAAAAACTTACGCGTTTACAGAGATCCTATCGTGTACAAGCCTCTTATAACTCTCATTATTATATTTATCTTCCAGCAAATCTCCGGGGCCTACGTTATTATTTTCTACGCCATCGAACTTTTCAAAAAAATTGGGGGTTATTTCCAGAACGGTATAGACGAGTTCGTAGCTCTAGTTCTATTGGGAGTTATAAGGTTCGTCATGTCGATCGTATCGGCGTTAATTTCGAAAAAGGTCGGTAGAAGGAAACTAATGTTTATTTCTTCGGTGGGAATGTGTATAACGAGCTTAGTCGCCGGTTTGTACATGTATTTGACGCTCATACCGGAACAGGAGTACGAGAAACTAAACATTAAAAACGATATTTCCAACGATAACATTCCATTGTACTGCATTTTGAGTTATGTTTCTTTTAGTTCGTTGGGTGTTTTGGTCATTCCGTGGACGCTAATCGGTGAATTGCTGCCTGTGAAGGTAAGGGGGAAGCTGGGCGGGTTTCTTATTTCGTTCGCTTACGTTATTATGTTTGTAGTAGTTAAAATGTTCCCGTATCTGTTAAATACTTTTAGTTTACAGTATTTGTTTTATTTAATGTCCGTTATTAGCTTGTTTAGCTTTGCGTTCTTTTATTTCTTCCTCCCGGAAACTCTGGGCAAATCGTTCAGTGATATCGAAAAATATTATGTAAAAAGTGGTGAATAAAAAATACTCATATTCTTATTTTGTTTAATTTCCATTGCCATAAAAATTGTAACATAAAAGAAAATATTTAAGCAATATTTGTCCTATATTATTTCGAGAACGTAGAAAATGGAAAATTTATAGTCAGTTACAAAAAAAACAAGCTGAAGAATTTAATGTGGCCAATAATTTTTTGAGTCCTTTTTTTTGTCTACAGGTGTACATATACAGAATCTTACAGTATATAGGCAACACACAATACACGCATCTGTATTCATGATTACATAACGTCACGTAAAAAACTAGTTCAAGAACTAAAAAAGAGAATTTGTAACACCATTTTTATTAGTAACTGTTTAGTGTTATTAAACTCTTTCAAATTAAAATAATGTTTCTAGTGCGAAGAAACAAGAACATTAAATTCCAAACGAACTAAATTTTTGCATTCGGAACGCACTCTATTAGTTTGGTGCTGCGGGCGCCCTGCGTCAAAATTGCCTGGCTGTCTAAAATTTGCCGAGTTATATGGTGTGCGTGATTTTTCGCAATTTTCCGACTCTAACGGTGAAAATAAACTAATTTTGTGACTTAAACGGGTTAAGTTTTTGGAGTAATATTCTGTTAGTACATCGTTCTGGTGAGTACATTATTTAGTTTTTGTAAAATCATTAAATAGTCTGTCATTGTCAAAAGAGTATAAGTACGTCAAGATATTTGAAATTACAGAATTATAATTTGTTTAAAAGTTCCTATAAAAATGTTAGTAGCTGGTAGAATGAATGATAGCTTTGGAAACAAATCAATCTGTGCTATTTATTTTTACTTTATACCTCTACTATGAATTTTGCACAACATTGCAATTGTTGTAGGTATATGACCAATTTTTCTGACAAATTAATAGTTCTGTGCAATTAAAGTGTAAAATACAATATAATTATAGAGGAACATATTTTCGCAATTCCTATATGTTTTACAATTTTACTTTAACAGTATGTTTTGATAAAACAAGATATAATTAGTAGGTAGGTAGTTAGTTTACATACGTGTTTCCAATAAATTTTCATGTGAGCAATTCAAGGGTTTGTGATGAATAGTTTCTCGTGCAATCTTAAAAGTAACATGAATAGGTACCAATTCATTTAACATCCTTACTCTCCTGAAAGAATGTCAGTGCCGTAGAAATACTATATTTCATGTTGCTTATTTACCTGTTTTTTATTTCATATAGCTGTTGTAATAATTATAAACATTATTATTAAAATAAATCTTCGTTTTCTGTTGTTTTTCTAGCCACAAATTCATGTTTTTTTGCATGTTTTCCAAGTGCTTTTCTCTATTCGTTAATCTTAAATTATACTTACGTTAGTCATAAAAATCATGTAATAGATTACGCTTTTATCAAATTCTACGTATTTAATAAATTGCGATCAGAGCATGTTTTGATTATTTGTGGCATTATAAGATTAACTAAACATTTTAATTTGTAAGGAAATACTTTGTACGTTGTTTCAAAACCTTTTTCACTAGAAGTTTTCATTTAGACTCAATTTTTTTATTTATTATCTAGTGACATCGCCAACATATGAAATATAGGCAAGTTGACATCTAGATGCTCTAACTGTAGATATATCTCTTTGTCATTTCATCTCTTGTAATTAGAAAAGAACAAAACACATATATATCTTTTTATATTAAAAAAAATTGGGCACGCCGCCACTGGAGAAAGTAGTTTCCTCACCGTGACGATATGTGACATGATGTGTCGTAGTGGTGGTGATACTCATTGAAGACGTAACTTTCACGGAACTTTGTTAGTATATAAATATATCTAATTTATACAAGTAGATCTTTTGGCACCGTGAAAATTGTTTGAATTTGTCGTACGTATCTATTAAAGGGGGGTAATTTAAAAAGTATAAGGCTCGGTATGTGGTTTGAAGACTGACTTTTTTACAGATAATATATTCATTGAGAATTTACTAGATTATATGTTTAATTTAAATTTTTTTTTACTTTTATTTTATATAGGTACGTATTAATGGTAGTCGTTTATTTGTTCAGCATATAACCGAAATATGTAAAGGATATAATTTGTTTTTTAATTAAAATACGAATAGTTCATAAAATTTTAATTAATAGTACGAATGTGTCTCAAGTTAAGTTATTTCTATGTTATTGGAAGAATACATAAAGTAGGTACCTACATAATTATACGTAGAACTACTAAAACACTAAAATACTTTATTTAGTGCTCTCATAGCTGCAATAAGCGTCAATTATTTTAATTTAACATAGGTATAATAGCTTTAAATAAAGAGCTATAAAAAGTTATAATTACTTATACTGTATTTTTTCCCTAACCACTATTTTTAAATACATAATTGCAAATAGGTAATTGGAAATAATTAAATAAACAAATAATTGTAGCAAATTAGTCGAAGAATATCGTGTTTAATGTGTTTAATTATTTTAAGACAATTTTTCCAAACGAAAATTTCGACGCAAGACCCTGTCGCGGTAAATTGTTACAGTAGTTCCGTTAAGTAACAGAACTTTACTGGCTTATTCTTTTCTTGGAATTCTATCTCAACAAATATTGCACGGACTGTACCTGCTTTTTTGACATTTTCTTTAGATTAATTTATAAAAATTGAAGTGAATTTGCAATAATACTGTACTGTAGTGTTGGTGGCTCATATTAATTTAAATAGGTACTGGGATAAATACATACATGTATTTGAACTAGTAAAAAGGGTTTCCAACTCTTTTTATAATTAACAATGTACCTACATACATACAACCACAACATGTATCATGTTACAACAGGAAAATTAGCGAAAATAAAAGAGAAACTCGAAAAAAGTCCTATCCGCGAGATTATTGTAAAATTGTTTAAAGGAACATAATACAAAGACATCTCTCATCTCGTGAGTCAAAAACTTTTATTAGCTAACTTTTCAATTTAAACAAATAAGTGAGGAAAACAGTTTTTTCACTGCAGGAAAAACCATCAATTTTAGCGAAAAGTGACAGCTTATAGGGAGTAAAATTATCTACAAAATGAGACTTGTTAAATTAAAATCGGTTAATAAGCAAAAAATTTATTACAAAAAAACAAGAAAAGTGCCCATTTTTAATTTGTTTATAACTATTAGTCCACAGTACAGGCCTCCTCTGGAAAGTTGATTACCACATACTTTATAACTCCTGAGGAGCTTCGTTTTGACGAGTCTACCACATTTTTCCTCTGCGACTTTTCTCGATTCCTCCGCTTTTCCACTCGGAAAAGTCCAAAAACATTATGTGAATGAGAACTTTTCTCGCGCGCGACCGCTTGGACGAGCTTCAATAACATTGTTGCTATTTATGCTATCTCACCGAAAATAGATGCAATGGATAGCTGGCAAAAAAATACAGTTTTAAAATAAAAAAAGTACCCTCTACGACCAACAGGACCAACAAGTTCAAATTGATGCACGCTGTAAATTTTGCAATATCTCGGCTTCTATTCATCGTAGAAACTTATTATTATTTTTTAAACTGGGGTAGCTCGACGAAAAAATAACAATGGGCATATTTACGAATTCGTAGAATAGCCCTGAACCCCAGAAAAAATGCATCTTTTACAATAAATTTTTTTTAATTTACAAAAATGCCACAAAAATTATTGTTAAACGAAATATTAATTAAAATTTTAATTTCAGAATTATTTTACTATTATTAATAAATAAATGAAGCTATCGTTCATTTAAAAAGTTATTTTTTTTTTACATATTAAGGCAAAGTAAACTTGTTTTTTCAATATTTTGTTAGCTATTGAATTACGATTTAAATGTAAAATGAAAGTAAAAATTCATAAATTATTTTCAAATTATTATTTCTCATAAAAATAGATAATTTTAAATTTTAAATTGTTGTATTATATTGCATTATATCTATTATTGGAAATGGTTGTGATTAATATTTTTTTAATTAATTTTGATTATGTTGCAAAAAATAATATTAAGGCAAAGTAAACTTGTTTTTTCAATATTTTGTTAGCTATTTAATTACGATTTAAATGTAAAATTAAAATAAAAATTCACTAATTATTTTCAAATTATTATCTATTGTTAAAAGATTTAAAAAAGAATAAAAAGCATTTGAATTTATTGCAAAATTCTCAAAATTAAAAAATATTAATAAAAATAATGCGGTCGATAAAATTACAATTTTAACTTCTT